ACATCTCTAATAAATGTGCAGCAACGTAGTCCTAACTTATCCTTCTTTCAGCCTATTTTGTCTTCTTTCTGTTTTGACCAGTAGCTTCTTGAGAAGGAATCTCTTTCTTTGATCTTTTGAAACATTGTCTCACTAAGCACACTGATCCTGCCAAATAAGGGTATAGATTTTTATTTTCTAATTTTCCAACTATCATCAATATTTCTGTATGGGAGAATTTCACAGTGTCCCAGTTTCAGCAGGTTTTATGTAGGTTACTCTGAGGAATAAGGTTTATAATCACAAAAAGAGTCAGATTGTGAGGTATTGGAAGGTATGGCTGAAAGTAGTGGGTGGTTTTGGAACATTAATTGCCTCAGTAATTCACTAGGTATGCTATGAGCTACATTGTGAGTGAGATCAATTCCCATCTGGTGTAGAAAATTATACAGACCTTCACAGCAGAGTTTCTGCAGCAAGTTTTCAGTTTTTTTTCCCACCGGTCGCTGCCAGCATTGTTGCTTTGGTTGCATGCTCTGACTCTGCTGTTTTGTCTCTTTCAGGCACTTTTAGGGTTTGACAGAGTTTACACGACACTTCATCCACGACGTGAACACCTGCAGCAAGGACAGTTTTCGGAAGTGACATCCGTTGATGTGATTGAAGGTAATGCACTCTCCTCTGTCATTGCCCTCTACTTGCTGTTTATCCGCCACAGAGCCTCATGCTCTGGCTGGGCATCCCCTTTGCTGTCCATCCTGCTTGGTGAGGTGGGAGCAGAATCAGGCCTCAGTTCGATGCATGTCTGAGCATCCTTCAGGCTGATCACAGAATCACCTAGACTGGAAGAGACCTTTAAGATCATCAGGTCCAATCATTAACCCAACACCAACAAGTCCTTGACTAAACCATGTCCCTCAGCACTATGCCTACATGACTCTTAAATACCTCCAGGGATTCTTACTCAGGTAACAGCTATTTCCAACTGTGGCTCATCCTGTCCCATGAAATGTGGTTTTGTCCCTCTTCTTAAGGAAATCTTTGCTTGTGTCGCACAACCTGCCTGTTTTCCATAGCCACCTAAGTGCTTCACGTTTTTTAATCATGAAGTT